TGATGTTATGGTATGTGAGAAAGACTTTGGGAGACAGGGCCAAGAGACATCACCTAGGGAATAGTCAGATAAGAGACTGCATAGTCCACAGCTGGATAGTGGGTGGGGCAAGAGGCTTAGAAGGGATCCTCCCTAGTTTCTTGGGCTGTAATTGAGACAGCAGGAGAATTATACTTTCAAATTTGCAAGATTCTGTTAAAGTAGCTTTACAATAAAGTAGAATTAGCTCATCTGGTCGTGTTTCCTGTCTGGTCTACCTAGTAAGGCTGACACATGACCATGGAATGGTGATACGGTCATAAATGCCCACCAGTTGCAAAGCACCCAAATCTCAATCACATGACTGCAGGGATGCTGCAATGCTTGTAAGTGCAAGGACTAGTCATAAAGTTATTTTTTTCAGCGTCATCGTAACTTCAAACAGTCACTAAACAGGGCAGTCATTAAGCGAGGACTACTTGTAGATATATACTAGGTACATCGCTGACAACTGGGTAGGTAACGGAAAGGAGAAACAGGCATATCCTACATCACATCCAAGAGGTGACAGTGGGAACTGAGTAATACTAACATGTTACATAAGAAACGTCAGCAAGACAGAGTTGTAGGAGGACCAATCAGCACATGACAAAGCAAATTCATTCAGAACTGCTCTTCAGAATAGTTACCTGAGGATTAGCCATGCATTGACTGACATGCATTAGCAGCACAATAAAAAGTAGGAGTTTCACACAGATTTGGGCCCTTGCACCCACTCACTGAAAGCTTATGCTGTCCAGGCTGTTTGGAGTAGACCAACAGGAAAAATAAGGACATAAAATCATTGGAATGCCTTGCCAAAATCAAAATACTCCTGAGGCCTAGGGAGGAACTAGGACATAGAGTTCTGCAAAATAAGCAGCAAGTTGGCGTGTTATCATCTATTGTTCATTTTTTGCAATGGGCTGAAGCTTTGTAGAGGTTTATTTAAGCTTTTTTTGCTAGAGGAAAAGAAGATATCTACCCAATATGCCTAATGCTTACTATCAACTAGTACATGTTTCCTGTAATTTCTTGTTCATTAATTTCTTGTTAATTTTTTGCATTTCCTGAGTTTGTAGCATTATGAAAAATGTCTTATTCCTCTTAGTGTTTAAGGATATGGGAAGAAGCACAAACCATATCCTCGAAGTAAAAACCTTTGCGGCTTATTTCTAACTACATGCCAAAAACCCGTGCAACAAATGGAGCAGTATTAGAGGTACAGTTAATCTGTGAAGCTCTGTTTGGCCAAAGATTAAAACAAGCATATGCTTTATGCTGCTAGAATATTGTAGCCTCATTATTGATAATTATTAGTTATAAGCATCACTATTTGCGGTGTTTTCAAAGGAATTTAAAAAGGCAGCTTCTGCTGACAGAGCTGTGTATAACTTCACATAGGCATACATATATTAGCCACCTTCTTCTCCCCCATTTCCATCATCATCATCATCATCATCTTGATACTTTTTGCTTGTAATATAATCAGTAATTCTATTACCCCATTAAGTGCTTTCACCCCACATTCCAACTTATTGGATCACCTTTCTAGAATGGTTGGAACTTTGTTTTCATCCATAGTAGCAATTACAGTGCTAATACAACTGGAAGATCCCTGGGATAGACATTTGGATGGCTCCAAAGCTCAGATGTTGGCCTTTTGGATGACAAGAAGGTGTCTTGGCTTATTTGGGAGGGGGGTTACCCCCTCCCCCCAGCTTGGATTGTGCTAATACAGAGGATTGTGGAGATACTGCAGGAAAGATCTAGGAAAGAAACTGGAGATGAGATAAATGCAAGCTGTGTGTCAAAAAGAACTAAAAGGAATTCTGGATTGTTAAACTATGAAGTGCCATATATGTTCAATTCATATAGCAATCCAAATATTTTTTTTAAAAAAAAGTTAAATTGCCAGTAAGCCCCATAATTCTGGTAAGCATTTGCATCTCCAGGAATTGCACTAGGATACTGGCATAATTGTATATTTTCTCTCTAGCCTTGGTTTATTAGTTCCTGCACAGTTGTCAAACATCATCCATGCCCTTCAAAATCTGCCCTTCAAGCATATTAAAATACTGTTTTTTTAAGCGTCTGTCCTGCTCCCACCCCCAGACCCCCTCCCACCATCCTCACCATACACCCCAGTTCTCAGCTTGGAGGCAGCACTTTACTAAAGACAAGAAGCAATTAATTTGTCTTGACTGCTAAAACCATTCCAATTTGAAACATGCTCTTGCTTCATGTGATTTTTTGCCCATTTATGATGATAGCTCCTCATGGAGTGATTTTATAACATCAGAATCCAGTGGGGACAACTAGCATGATGCATTTTTCCAAGCTGCTGAGAAATAATAGGCTACATATTTCCTCTCTTGGGACCTCTCAGCACAACATTTAGAAGGGACAGTTACATTTTGACTGAGGCAGTGAGAGCTGTGATTCAGAGCAGAGGAAGAGCAGTTTAAGCCCATGTTCACTAGGCCCCCAGTTTTAGTTGGCCTGAATGAAGGGTGCCTGCAGTTTACAGTGTTCTGTGCCCTGGCATTCTGTACCCAGTTGTGGCTTGAATATGCTGTGCCAAAGGGACACCATTGAAAGGAAACTGCAGCACTTTGAACATTTGCTTGGGGTTCCAATTTAGTCTTCAGTTTACACTCAGATTTGGAGTCAGTAGGGAGAGGAGAGCATGGAAACTATCCAGAGAGTCACGTGTCAATTTGAATTTTATTTATTTATTATTTATTAAATCAATTTATATAGCTGCCCGTCTCACCATAGGCGACTCTGGGTGGCATACAACAGAGCTAAAAACAATAAAATTGCTTTCTCTCTTAAGAATTGAGTCAGAGAAACATCTCTGTAATCAAGGCAGTTTCTCCCCCACCCCCAGTTTAACTTTGCAGCCTGTTGCAACTAGCTGGTAGTTACCTCCTCTTCCTCCTCTTCCCCAGCCTGCCCATGCCCGTCTGCAAAGATAAACACTCAGTGGCTGCATCTCAGATAGAAAGGAAACAGCCAATCACCAGCCCAAGCCATCAAAGGAACAGTGAAGTCACCTTCCAGTCAAGCTTAATCTCGATTGACTTTATGGACACATCCATGTAGTTTTCCTGGCAACACTATGGAAGGAGTTGCCACTGCTTTCTTCCAGAATGTTTTTTTGACTTCCCATCTACCAGCAGCTCTGTATCTCTTGAGGGGTCTTTCGTCCAACTATTAAGCAGATCTTTCCTTTTGAGATGAGCCAACAGCAGCTGGCTGCTGCTACTGCCTAGCTGAATTCTAATAATGTCAGAAGACTTATTGGCCTGGTGCACACAAGGCATTAAGCCATGGTTGGCTTAAGCATGTTTTCCTGAATAAAACATAGTTGGCATGGTTTACACAGCATGCTAAGCCATAAACCACAGTTTACAAATCATAATGGATGAATTCATATAACACACTAAGCCAAAATCAATTATGTTTAGTGCAGGGATGGGCAACCTACAGCCCTTGGGCTCATATGCATTTTGACTACTTTTTTATAGCCCTACCAGTCCTCTATTGCTGAAATCAGGAGGCAAAATTGCCCATTTTCAGCGGTGTGATTATTTTTCATTTTTAATATGAAACAATATACCAAAGAGACGCATTAATGTAGCCATTTTAGCAAAGCAATCTTA